ACGGAAGGACAAAATTGGTCCCAAAAATTGAAGTTTAAGGATTTTTTTAGTACTTTTTGAAGTTTGAGGGTAGTTTTAGTCCAAAATGAAAGTTGAGGGACTGAATCGGGGATATAACCTTTTTTTTTCCTTTTTAAGAAAGAGGAGCATCTGCATCATGGTGTGATTCCTACCTCTTTGTCCTTTTCCTTTGCTTTTACTGTTTTGTCTTTCATAAAGGGTTTTAAACATTATATATCAACCCTGTAAATATGCTTTCTCGGCAGTGGCATCGTTCTTCCCCCTATAAAGAGTTCACTCAGTTTTTTTATCTAAATCTTAACTGTTAACTCAAACATTGCCTCATCCATATGCCATTTTTCGAAATACATGATAGCTAGAATGATGTGAAAAGAATTTGTCATTTTTATTAGGGGAAAAATAAGTTCAGAGGGTTATTCTAACTTGGCTCCTATCGTCTTTGACAGTGTCAATTGCAAAAGGCTTGATAGATGATGGAAAAAGTTCTGGTCCCTCAGCAGCAACTCTGTTGCATGGTGCATCACAATTACTAATGACCTCAATTAACCTTCCTTCATGTTCTCGAGAATTTTTATATCGAAAATTGAGTATCAACTCGTATACAAACATTTATATTTAAATCAATTGCACTTGAAACATAGAACAGTTTGAAGAGAAGGTCACATTGCACGAAAGCGGAAATGGCCCAAATAATTCAACGGAATTTCCACACGTGTGCAGCAATTGCAAGTTTGCAACACGTGCGTGTTGTTTCTCCTCCATTCTTTTTTTTTAGCCAATTCGTGTCGTAGTTTCCATTTTTTTTTTTGCACGATAAAAATAAATTATTTTTTATTTTTTATCCCACTTCGTATAATTAATATGTTATACATTCAAATTTAAATTTTTTTTAAAAAAATAATTATTAAATTATTTAAACTGTTGTAATTCTTATATTTTTAAGTTAGTATGCTTTTATTATTATATAATCAATGAAACGACATTGTTTTGACTCCTAATTTCAGTTTTCGGGCAATCCCTTCCCTCGCCGGTCCCTCCACCTCCAATGGCCTCGGCGTTGCTCGTCCGATCGATCGGATAATCGTTTTCTCTTCCTGTCTGCTGACGCTAAAGGGCAAGTCTTCAAGGACTTTGAATTCAGCATTCTAATTAGTTCTTGTAAAAACTCCTTTTCTACCGAGATTTGAAATGACAACTCGGAGTGTAGATACTCCCAAATCGGTTACCGCCAAAAAGAGTCCGCCGCCGCCCCCGCCGCCTCCGAGCAAGTCTGCTACTAAAGCTGCGACGAAATCTATGGCTACTTCCAATGAATTTGAGACTCCCAGAGACAAAGCGGCGTTCTTCTGCCAGAGCAAAGAAGCCGAAGAATGGCGAAGCATCAACTACTAGTTCTAATTCCAAACCTGAACAATTAACAGGTATAACTCAAGAAACACCCTTTTGTTAGTAATTAAACTCCGTTTAACAATGGAATTTGGATTTTTCTTTAAACAGTATAGAAGTGTTCATTATTTTGCTTTAAAAAAAATTATTTGGGTTTTATTCTATAACTTTGGTGATTTAGTTGAAGAAGTGAAACCATCTGCTGATGCTGCTATCATGGTAACTGATTCAGAATTTGAAACAGGCACCAAATTAGTAGCAAAGAGAAAATCTGGGAGGCCCAAAGCTTCTCATTAGTTTTAGCTAAAACTGTAATAGTTTAAGGTAATCCAGTTGAATCCTTTATGGTAGTCATCAGATTTTTCTAGAGAAATGAACGTTCGGACATTGTCTGCTATAGGGATTTAAATTTATGGTCATCTTTAGAGTTTATTATAAAGCACAACGTGTGCATTGGGTACCAACAACTATTGTTATGTGTGTGGTAGGAGTTTGGTTATTTTAAATAAAATTTTGATTTCAAGTCCTGTAAAGAGAGAATCAAACATTGTAAGAATTTTTCTTATAAGATCTAATGTAATTTGATTTCGAATTAGTCAAAATTTAATATAATTTTTCGATAACAAGAGGTACCTTATGGGCACAATTTGACATTGATGTCATCCTTAATCAAATTCAATTTAGTAGTGATTATACTAACTGGATATAGATTTTGATTAATGGAGGCATGTGCTAAAGAACATGGTCTCTCATTTTGATCCTTAATTATGAGGAGTGCCAGTGGTCAAACGGATTAATATCGTCTTGATATTTTGATGAGAAAAATAGTGGTAGATAGGTTGTTTTTCAACTGAATTGTCATCTTGTTTGGTTCAGCTGAGAAGAAAAATTGTTTCTTAGTGCTGGGCAGGCTAACATTGATTGGTTGTGGGCCTCCATGTATCAATTGTGTTCACATTCTGATTGCAAGTGTTGAAAGCTGCAATAGTATAGGTGGGAAATATTCATCCATGTTGATACGTATAGTTGAATTGCTTAAGGTGCACAAATTGGGGTTAAATTTTACCAAATTGACTATGGCATAGGCAATTATTTAACACAAAACTGAATTTATTTTTCTTATGATTATTTTTTGATCCGAGATATTATGGTCAAAATGTCTTTTATAATATAAGTAGAAATCCACTTATATAGATATTTTACTTATTATATTTATATAAAATTTTCATCATTCATCATTCATCATTCATCGTTTCACTTTTAATAGTTGAGATTTATTTAATTTTTGTCATATTTATTAAAGATAATTATTTTTTTATTTAAAAATTATGATAAATCTTAATCATTATAAAAGTAAAAAGATAAATGTTATTATAAAAGTAAAAAAATAAATGTTTAAAGTTTTATATAAATGTGATATATAAATATTGTGTATAATTGGATTATACTCTTATAAGATTGGTGAATGATGAGAGACTTGAGCCAACGACCAACAAATGAATAAAGCTAATGTTGATGATGAGAACAGAGAAGTTTACCTTTCATTCTGTGAAGGCCTAACGGAAGCTTGTTGATAAATAGTCATGTTTTGTGTGAACACGTGATAATTGAGTTACAAATTTAGATATAATACAAGACAGCGATACAGGTTTTGGCGGCTCAGGAGCACCTGGTTTAGCTGGTTGGAGCATAGATTTATCAGGGAATGTTCATAAAAGAAAGGTTAAACCCCAATTGGGGTCCTCAACTATTGAACAAGACTTTTAATATGGTTTCTAAACTGAAAAAATTATTGATTTTAATCGTTAAAATTTTCAAATTTAGTTATAAATTAGTCTTTTTATTAGAAAACAATTAATGTATTTATCAGTTGATGACAGAAAGTTATTATTTAATGGGTCATGTGTCATGTTAATAAAAGAACACGTTAGTTACTTTTTAATAGAGGGCTAAATTTAGAGCTAAATTTTGAAACCTTAAAGATCAAATCAAAAATTTTTTTAGTTTAGGGACTGACTCAGAGATTCATAAAATAGTTGAAGGATCAAGTTAGGGTTTTAACCTAAAAGAATTATTGAGAATTGATAATCTTCGATTTTTAATGATTTGATCCAGAGCAGTCAGAAATATTGAGTAGATTTTTCTCCTATATCGGTTAGGAATATTCTTTATTCTTACCCCTTTTTTTTTTTTCAATACCGTTGTTATTGATTTTTTAATTAAAAATTTAGGGGTAATTTATATATTTATTTATATATTATTATTAGAAAATTAAAAGATAAATTGAGATTTTTCATGGTAAAATAATTTGATAAAATAAGGTGAAAGTAAGAAAAAATATTTATTTATTTTAAAAAATAAAAAATAATAATTAATTTAAAATAAAATTAAACTTAAAAAAAAGATAGTTATTTTATTTTAGAACAGATAAGTAAGATGCCGAAGTTAGTTTGAGCTGTTTTGCTGTTAGGACATCCTATTTCAGACTGGTTTTTTTGTGCACTTTTGTAGTCTATGACTCTTTTATGTAGTATAATACTTCTCTAAATTTTTTTATTTATGGTTGGCATGTTTTTAAATTAATTTTTATGTATATCAAAACTAATTTCTCCGTGGATGATTTTAAGTAGAATACTTCATGATTGTTAGATAATCTGAAATTTTTTTTTTTTATTTTGATGTTGATAAAAAATAAATAATTATTCCATCTACTAAATATGTACATATATTTCATGGTTGTATGACTACTGAAACATTACTCATTTTATCCTGTTTAAATCACATTATGATCACCATTCTCTTAGGTTTCCCCTCACCTGTTTCTCAATTCAAAAATCCAAGAGAAACCCATGAAATTCAGCTATGAAATTTTCCCCAGAAAACACACCTCTCATTAACCAAAAAAACAAAACCTTGGTAGGCTAAATCCTTACAGGAATTGCTGGCATCGCAATCCTTGACAAACATAAACAACGCTCAGATTTCTTTCCAAGTGTACGCTCTAGATATTTCATTTTACACGCTGGCAATCCGCGTGAACCCAAACCAACCAATCAGGATTGCCTCCTCTTTTTTTCACGAAGATCGCGCCCTTGTATAAATTCCTGAGAACCATTTTTAATTATCATCAAATCAACGCAACCTCAAAACAATATATCTAGACTCTTCTTTACCTACTGTGAAATCGCGTGAATCCGTTCGTTTCATCATCTCTGTCGTCACCTATGGCTGCTGTGGAAGTTGAAATTCCGGTAACCGAACAACCGCCGGCGACTGAGGAGTCCAAGCTGGCGACCGAGGAAACTAAGCCGGTAGATAAGCCTGTGAGAGAGAAGAAACCTAGGGTCTCGAAGGAGAAAAAACCTAAACAGCCAAAAACTGCTTCGCATCCTCCTTATTTTCAGGTATTTTTCTAAATTGGCGATTTAATTGTTTTGTTTGTTGGATTGAATATCTGGATTAATTGATGGTTTGTTTGTGTACAGATGATCAAGGAGGCGCTGTTGGCCCTGAACGATAAGAGTGGTTCGAGTCCGTATGCAATAGCGAAGTACATGGAGGGGAAGCACAAGGCAGTGCTGCCGGCGAATTTCAGGAAAACCTTGGCTCTGCAGCTTAAGAACTCTGTAGCCAAAGGCAAGCTCATCAAGATCAAGGCCTCGTACAAGCTCTCTGAGGCAGGGAAGAAAGAGAAAGGAACAGAAAAGGCACCGAAGGCTAAAACAGAGAAGAAGACGAAACAAGAATCGAAGCCTAAGAAATCTGAGGCTGCAAAGAAGCCAGCAAAGAAAGTAAGTACGAAGAAGACAAAGACTCCTGCGAAGCCTAAGCAACCAAAGTCCATCAGGTCCTCTGCTGCTAAGAGGGCCAAGAAAGCTACTGCACAAGTGTAGAAATTAGCTATTAGGTTTGTAGATATTTATTAGGATGTTTTTGTGAAGTATGTGGCTTTGGTACAAGGCAACCTATGTTTTGCAGGGATGTAACAAACGGTGGTTTTCTGGCTTTTGTCATCTGCAGTGGGATAGAATGGTTTCTCTTCTGTAGTTTGGTGTTTTGAATAATAAATTAATGAAAATCGCTGTCTAAAATTAGGAAGCAAATGGCTATGGATGTGTGGGAAGGTGACAGGGTGGAGTTTTGTTTGGGGCTGGCGTGTCTGCAATGTCATTGAATCTTATCTTGTGGTCCAAAATTTTAGGGTGACAAGTTGTTTGGAATTAGAAGAAGGGAAACTAATTTGAATCCAAGTAAAAACAAATGAGTGATTAATTGATTTTAAGAACCCAATTCTACAAATTGCCATGAGATTACATTGTGAAAGAGAAATTTAGGAATAATTGTGGTGATCTTACAATAACTATTTGCTGCGGAATATTGATTACCCTTTCATATGTGCATCTAATGGTCCCCACATCACCCCCCACCCTAATCGTCTTAGTGTGTGTGGATATATATATATATAAAAGAAGTTCTTTGGAAGTTGGAAGTTAGAGGTGAAGGGTGATAGTTCTAGCGCTTAATTAGCTTTTATCTCTTGTTGGGTGGCACTTAATTGGAGTAAAGAGATTTTTTTTTTTTTAATTTAATAGTTGTTTTCCATTATCTTTTGACAAATGTACTAATGGACTACTATACAAATGGACTACTAATTACTTTTTAAAAAGTGCGTTATATAATTTAGAATCTTAGATGGTAACAGTACTTAAATTATTAAATAATCGGTAAACTTTTAATTATAGAAGTTATTTTTTATTTAATAATTTATAGTTTTATAATTTAAAGATAAAATAAAAAAATGTTTTTTTTTTACCTTATAAACAAACAAAAAAAGGAAATATTTCTTAGGAAAAAGGTTTAAAAAAGGAATAAAACAATTTTCTTTAAAAAAAAGTCTATGAAAATATTTAAATTAATTATTTAGTATAATGTAATAATTATTAATAATTATTATTATAATTCAAATATTCAATTAATTTAAATAAAAGATCTGTAATTGATAACCGTTTTTGAAAATATAAAACAAAGGCGAACATTTTCTGGCCGGCAGTCGACCAGGCTAACAGAGAGAGATGTTTAACCGTGGTTAACAGGACAACCAATCTTGGTTAATCGAACTAATCTGCGAGCCGTTGATCGCATCAATTCTAACCACGCCAACAAATATATAACCCACCCCGCGTAACCCGTATTTTTGCGCTCGTCAAAGAGTTCAAAATTTTACGAATCCAGAAGCATATTCTCTTCATCCAGGTATTCTGAAGATCCAGCAAACCCTAATCCTTGCTTTCCTCCCCCCATTCTTCTTTCACTTATCTGCAATCTCACCTTTTTCAGAAGGTTATTTGATTTTGAATTTTTTTTTTTTTTTTTACGGTTTCCGATTTGCGTTTCACAGGTGATATGGCGCGTACCAAGCAGACTGCTCGCAAATCCACCGGAGGCAAGGCTCCGAGGAAGCAACTCGCAACTAAGGTATGCCTCTCTTGCTCTCCCTCTCTCCTTGACTCTGTGGCTTGATTTCGTAATGTTTTCTTCGATTTATCACGGCTTTTGTTTTTAGTACTTGTTCTTTGCGTTTGACCTTGAACAAACAAACACTGTTCAATACTTTTTTTTTTTTTAATGGATTTGTTTTCATTCAAGTAGGTTTGGAGGTTTATTTGATTTGGCTGAGTATGTAGGTTTTATTAATAATAATGTTGGAGTAATGCTAAAAGCGTTCAGGTTATCTTGATGTAGTTAGTTTGTTTATTTAGCTGCTAAAGTATGTTACAACTTGCAAGCAAATGTCTCAATTAGGTTGGGATTCCTTTTGGATTTTGAACATCAATCTGCACCTCTTCTTCTTTTGGCATGTTGAATGGAAAAAGTTAAAAAAAAAAAAACTATAACCAACACTGGATGTAAAATTCCAAATGTTCTGTAATATATGTGAAGAAGTGAATTTAACTTGGCAATTCATCCTTTCTGGCCTGAAGAAGAACTATTAGAATGGTATTTGTAATTTTGGTCTTCTGTCTTCCTATTATCAGAGGATAAGTTATTCCTTAGAGCTGTGCTGTACAAGAATTAGGTTTGACCTGTTGTAACTGCATGTTTATGTGTTGATGGGAAAATTAACTCATATGTTCCTCTCAGCAACATAGGAGAGAATAACTCTTAACAGGAACGGCAATTTCTTTTAATATTAGGTTTTACTGTCAGTAAATATTTTCTTATTTTGTATTTGAATTCGAAGGCTGCAAGGAAGTCAGCCCCCACTACTGGAGGAGTCAAGAAACCTCATCGTTACCGCCCAGGAACTGTTGCTCTTCGGTACTGATACCATTCACTTCCATCAATACAAAAGTTCGTTCTTCTGGTTTTATGGAAAAGCAAATGTTGCTCATATTTCTTATGTTATATCTTCCTATGTTTTGAACAGTGAAATTAGGAAGTACCAGAAAAGCACTGAATTGTTGATCCGTAAACTGCCCTTCCAACGCCTTGTCCGTGAAATTGCACAGGATTTCAAGGTAATGATCTTTGAGAAAGCTCTTCTTCTATCCACCATCTTTCCTTTTGTGGATAATTTTCTTTTCTATTGGAATAACTTTATGTTACTTTTGGGTAATATGATAGTAATATGATTGTTGATCATATCTTGTTATTGTTAATTGTTTAGACGGATTTGAGGTTCCAAAGCCATGCAGTTCTTGCACTTCAAGAGGCTGCAGAGGCCTACCTTGTCGGTTTGTTTGAGGATACAAATCTCTGTGCTATCCATGCCAGGAGAGTGACTATCATGCCAAAGGACATACAACTGGCCAGGAGAATTCGTGGTGAAAGGGCCTAGATGTAGTGTTCTGTGCTTGAATGGTTCTGTGTCTTTGCACCATGTTCTAATCTAGATATTAATCTTCTTATGGAGACAATACCATCTCACTTGTTAAGACATAACTATGAATTCATTCTTGTCGTTTTAGTCTGATGTTGTCTTGTCGTTGTTCATTGTTCATTGATTTGAACATCAAACAAGGATAACTAATCTAGATGTGCATTATTGTTGTAGTCTGTTGGATGTTCAACTTAAGTCTGGTGCTCTGGATTCACTTGTTGACATGGTATTCATGTTTTACTACCTCATGCTTAATGATGGACCTGTTTTTAGGTGTTCTTTAAGAAGTACTTTCTATTCCACTAGCTTCAACTGTGATTCTTGATATGGAATTTATTTATTTATTTATTTTTGTTTCTTTAACTTCGTTTGTGGTAAATGTTGTATGTTGGATTTTGCTTGAGGATGATATTAACCTTGTCATATCTAATGACTTTCTTTCATTAATCTTTTATTCATTGGTGATCATTTGCTTAGGGTAATTGGGTATCATCTAGGAAGACTGTTATGTTCTTGTATGGTTGTCTTCTATCTTCAAATGTTCTGGCCAGTTCTAATGTGGTTTATGTCTCCTGCTGAGTTGAGAGTTCTGGTTGATTTAACTGTTGAAGATGATGCATCCTTGTTCTTATTATATCTTTCTCTTATGTTCATTGCACAGACCCCTACATTTGCTTGTGGAGTGGTAGATAAGACTCATATAAGAGTTTCGGTAAGCAATACCAGGTTAACTGAGCTGATGCTAGATTCCTTCTATGTTCTACTTCATGATTTTTGTTTACTGCCAGGATTGAATCTCGACCTGAAGGATAGCAAAGTGCTTTCTGGGCTTCATCTTGGGCATTAGGAAGGTTGAATTTATTCTAATGAAAAAGGTTCTCAGGTTTTGGAAATGAAGTTTTAAACATACATTCAATCTGAAGACAAAACAAGCCTATCTCATGGTTAATATGTACTCTACTAGGAATTGCATGATCAGTAAAACATCCTGAGAATAATTTTTCTTTATCATTTCATTTGCATAAAGATTAGAATTCCCCCTTTTGTTCACATTGACATAATGAGATGCCGCCTTGTCAATTGTCATTCCCTCACTTCCTAGTAGTTGTTGGGAGAGGCTGCATTTTCATTGAAGTTTGTTTGATTGAAGGTGGATGATGTGATGAATGTCATGAGGAAGCTAGATGAGGTTAGGTATTTTTCTACCTTATCTCTGCATGTAAAAAGCTCATCCACAAGCTTTGTTGCGTGCCATGATGAGCATCATTGTTCTCCAAAAGGCAGGCGGCAGCTTTGTTTTGGTCAACCATTCTACTAATTGCTCTCTATTCCCATTCCATCTTTGTTAAAAATGGGCCAAGCAGCACTTATAAGCGTGGAAATTCTCCATTGGCCCTTAAGCTTAGAAATACCAACTCCGTGCAATCCGCAGGCAGCATGTGTAACGTAACTGTCCATGTTTCCGCTATGTCATGTGTAGTAACAATCACACCTATCACAAAAAAATGTTCTTTTGGGCACTGCTGATTATTCTTGTTCATCATTGTTTCATTTGCACTCATTTGGCCCAGAAGGTATGATTGGCAGAAACCTTTTTGTGCTGTGCTGCCGACTGAGATTTTACTGTCCAATTACATCACGGCCATAATTCCCCATCTTCATTCTAGCTATTTCCATTGCTGAAGTTTTGGTCATTTTCTTGTTACCTTGTGAAGTATGTTGATTGATTTTGGGTGCAGAGGTTAATTTGGTCTGATAATTATCATACACAAACGTCTCCACAATGTAGAATGGAATTATAACCATTTGACGACTGAGGAGCTCAATCATTCCTAATGAAGAGGAAAAAAGCTGCTATTACCTTTTGGCCACTTATTTTGGAAAAGGTTCTCTATCTTTTATCTATTGAATTACTTACTATAATGTACTCCTTCTGTTCCAATTTATTCGACGTTTTAGAGATGTGCACAAGAATTAAGAAAAATAATTAATTAATCTTGAATTAAGAGATTTTTAGGTTTAAGATACCATTTCACCCATGAGTCTAAAAAAAGAGATTGGGTAGTTGAAGAGGGGAGAAGATTCGGTAAAAAAACACCAATGAGAGTAAATTTGAAAAAAAGGAATTAATACAATTTTGATATGCTAAAACGTCAATTATTTAGAAACAATTTTTTTTCTCCAAAACAACTAATATTGTGGAACAAAAGGAGTATCTTTGTTTAACCAATTGAACACTTCATTTTAGGGATCAAAATCCATCACACTTAAGTCTGTAGTTCAGTTAGTAAAATGAATGTTCTTGATAAACTCAAATTTAGGCTTTTTTAATATATTATTTAATTCAACCAAGATTACATGCAGAGATTGAAACTATTAAAAAAATAAAAATTATTATACAATTTAAATTGTATAATAATAATCATTGAATAAAAAAAAGTTTTTATGTTGTTCAGCCATTTTAAATTACAAAATATAAAATTCATTAAAAATATAAATGAATTCCTAAAAAAAAAAAAAGAATCAAAACAAAAACTGAAAAAAATACTACCAGCCCAAAGTTCTCAAATTCGAACTCCTCATTTCTTTAATATGTAAGAGAGAGAGAGAGAGAGAGGAAAAATAGAACTTCAATAGAGTCTTCGGACATGAAGTGTGAAGGCCCACGATAATTAATGTTGAGACGGACCAGGTGTGAAAAGGTCATATCACGAACTAACATGTTTTAATTTGTCCAATCAGTCAATTTTGATATAGAAACAAATTGAACTTCTTTGGCTCTTTGTAATAATGAGTTAATTAAAGAATTTCACATTTTTCAGTCTTTGTTTTTTTTTTTTTGGCCAAATTGTGTTTGTTATAGTTTTGGTGGTGGGTGACCCTAGGGAGGAGGACATGTGGAACAGAGATAAGAGATGGTCAAAAAATGAAAATGAATTGTTGGGTATAAAAGACGAGAAATACAAAGGCATGCATGCCCTTCCCCCAACAACAGGAGTCACGGTGCACAGCGCATGCTAGACAAGCCATGGACCCACACCCAGATCGATGCTCCCATGCTCATTGCAACTCCATCTTCATCATCTTCTATTCGCAATCTATCAACCTACCTATTCTTTCATTTTCTCTTGTGTGTTTCCTAATGCTTTGGTACTTTGTTTTGTTTTCTCGCTCAGATTCTTCCCTTCCAACCATAAAAGTGATTCAGCCCCAAAACAAAGATTTCTGGGTACCATGTTTTGTCACCAAGAAAATCTAAGAGAGATTGGTTTGTACTTTGTAGGATATTTAGTCTTGCTAATTATTAAGTTTAATGTAATTTGTTTTCAGCTCTTCTATTCATTTTTTTAATAAAAAAAGAAGATATATATATTATATCAATGAGATAAAAAGAAATACTCTAATTTATTACAATATGTAAATTTTGTAATATGTGCCACATTATATTATAACAAAATTTACATTTTTTTTATGGGACAAAATTTACATCTTAATTATTTTAAAGTCTTATAAATATTTTTCTTAAACTGTTAATTCTAAATTAAATTTATGGTTCATTTTCGAGCCATATTTATTGGGCCTAATTTTTCAAAATAGAATATTTGTTGGCACGCCAAACTCGAACCAAAGGTAATTTTTTAAAAAAGTGATTATTACTTTTAAAAACTACTTTTAACTTTTAAAGAACCAAAGACGCAAATATCTATATATAAGACAGAATTAAAGGTTTTTCCTTCAAAAAAAAAAAAAAGAACACAGAACTAAAGGTTTCACTTTGTAATTGTCGGCTTAATTCTTAATGTAGCTAACTAGCTACTATAATAGCTAGCTAGGGAACATATATAACTGAAGGGTTTCACTTTATTACGTGCCTTCCTATGTATACTAGCTGAGTTTTCTTTCAAATTGTAATACCGGTGCATTCGACTTAACTTTCTCACTTTTCTCTTGTCGGCATGAAAACATATATACGGACAGGTCAATGAGAATATCATTGCAGAGAGAAATGTCAGTTTTCTTCTTCTAGTTGTAGTTGCCCTACCCGCTGCTTTCCAAACACCAAGTTCTTTGCATTACAGAAAGTCTAGAACAGAGCCAGCACCAACATCGATCCCTACAACTAGCTTCCCCAATGCAGGAAAAAGTATGTTTTTGCATTTGACCATTTGAATACAATGTGATAATTAATCAATGCTATGTGATCTTTCATGATTCAAGAGGTGAATATGGCTAAGCCGCTTGAACTTATTTAATTGAGATTTTTTGTATGAATTAAAGTAAAAAAAGTCAGGTGTTATCTTAATTTTTCAGATTGGTTAATCAATCTGCAGTATGTTTTACTATTAATAATGGCGAGAATAATAGTTAGAGGAGGAAGAGCTTAAAAAATGAGATTAACGTTAAGTGATTGATATTTTTGTGTATGTTAATGGATTTGAATATCTTTTATACTCAGTTTCAATAATAAAAATCTGCTTTGCTGTTCAAACAAAAAAAAAAAAAAACCAATGCTGTGTGGTTTACTTAATTTAATTACATGAGTGTCTCTAGAGTACTATATATATAATCATTAATTAGAACAAATTGAAAGAGGTAATTAGCATTACGAGAAGAAAGGCTTCATTTAAAAACATATTTTTACAAAGATATGTCTCATGATATGCATCAACCACATATAATTATAGTAGCAAGAGAAAAAAAAAAAAATTCTCCGTCTCCCTTCCCTTCATTATTTATCAAATATGCATATTCCAATATCACAGTCTGAAGTTGTGGAACTCAAGAAAGGACTCAACTTGTTCCCCTCCTCTCTACCACTCTGCAAAAACAGCAGTGCCGCCATGTCGGAATTACTATTTCCTTCAAAGGCCGAAATTCCTTCAACACCATCCGACCTATCTTCTTGGCTCATCAGCTGAGAAGCCACAAACTTATCTAGATCTCTCCAGTCTGTCACTTTTTGCTTGTTCTTGTTCTTCTTGTTGTTGATGCACTGCTCTTCTTCTTCCTCTTCATTGCTAATAATATTAATCTCTGATGGCATAGATATCGAACTTGGCCTCTTCATTAATGGCAAAGATGGACTCTCTAGCTGTGGAAGTTGCACAAACTGATCGAAATGAATGAAGTTTAAGTTCTCTACTGCCTCTGTTTCTTGCTTGCAAAGAAAATTCTGAGTTAATATGTTCTGAGACTGCATGGACATGTAGTCAGTGGGATCAACCACTGAGCTTACAACGCTAGGTTCATCATAAAAGTAGCTTGAATCCCATCCTTCAATGTTCTTGTTTTGACCATTGGCTCGCTTTTTGAATGCCCGACAAACAACCCATCCTTCTTCCTGCAAAAACTAAAGAGTGTTTAGTCAAGCTGATATATATTAACTTTAAAAACTTTAATTTTAAGTTAAGGTTAGTACTTCAAACTTGTGCAATAACTAAACACTAACTTCTTGGCTAATTGAAAAATCTGCACATGATAGATTAGAGAAAGACAAAACATTCTTTCTGTTAGCTGTATCTAATCTTCTCAGAAAAAAGAACGGCAAAGAAAAAAGAAAGTGGTGTACATGTTCCCTTTTGGGCCTTTTCATTTTGGAACATGTTTTCTTTTGGCTTTAGTAGGTATTCTTCCTGTTTGGTAAAGAGAGGTGTGGTAGTTGTTATGAGGCAAGGGGTGATGATTGATGAAGTAGTAGGCATTAGGATGGGGGAAACTAAATTTTGCTTTGACAAACAGAAGAAGGGAGAGAGAGGAAAAGCACATCCCAGAAAAAGGAATAGCTAGGAAGAAAGAACACACATTTTGCCTTAAAATCAGCTTGTAATCATTTTTTTTTTGTGAAGAAATATGGTGCAAATCTTCTTTCTTTCTAGAAATGGTACATAGACTGGCGTTGACGTTTGGTAACAATAATTAAGCATCAAGTTGGGTATTATGCTTGCCTGAGGAGGGCTGTTCTCGTCAGACTCAAGCCGGTATTCATGCATGATCCAGTCGGTTTTCTGTCCATTTGGAGCTCTTCCTTTGTAAAAGACTAGGGTTTTCCTCATGCCAATGAGCTTTGATTTATCATATACAGCCTTGTCTCGTCCAGTGGCCTTCCAGAAACCGGCCATGGTTGCTCTGTTTGTCCTTGTCCCTGTGGGATACTTCTTATCCTTGTGGCTGAAGAAGTACCATTCATTCTGCCCTTCATACCCGATCCGACATCGCTCTGCTCATCACCATATCCAGATCTTAATCATGTTAGAATCCGCATGCGATGTAATCACATGAAAAGAAGACCTGAACTCTACGTTGATCCATTGGTAAGTAAACCATTAAAATATATGATGGCATATTGTGAGTCGGAGAATGGTCTTGTTGTGAGATGATGTATGAAATTGAGCTATTTATGGCTTCAAACTTTGGATCCATATCAAAAACACAAACCCTAAGATTGAAAGTAGAATGAGAAAAGAGAGATTATCATACCTTGAAGATCCCATGGTTCGATCCTGTAGAGATCGATGTCTCTGATGAAATGAAGATCAATCTTCTGTGATGCAACCTTCTTGGTTAGATAATAACCCACCAGCTCTTCATCCGTTGGATGGAAACGGAATCCAGGAGGGATACAAGATGATGACTCCATGGACTCCATTATAGCTAATGCTGTAGCTGCATCAAATTCAGCACCACCACCAACATTAATACTTCTACCCCTTCACTTCATCATCTCTAAATCATAAAACTAAAAAAAAAAAGGAGAAGAGAAAAACACAAGGGTAAAAAGAAAAGAATGAAACCATCCATATAAAAGGTGACAAGTGTTATGAGGCATAATCATCAACTCATTTGGTGGTGAGCAACAATCACAACTCACCCAACTTATCTCTCTGGAACCAAGTATGTCGAAAAAGCATGTCTTAATTAATGATTATAAATTTGTGTCAATTAAATTTTTTTTTGAGATTTCAAAATAAGGGTCTCAAGTCAAAAAGAATTGAGAGATATGGCACTTACAATTTAAATCTTTAATAGGAATTAAAATAAAAAGGTGAGAAATAGAGAGATTCAAGATTCAAAGAGAGAATTGGTTTATTACAGAACCCGGAGGAGTTACGGTAAAAAGTTAGGTAATCCTGTTGGTCTCAAGAAACGGACAGTAGAGAGGTTTGTGGTAATGATGTTGTCTTGCGTTGGTGAATGGTGGAAATGATGCATCGAGGAAACGGGGGGGTGTTTCTCATTAATTAACAATTAATTACAACAAAACAAGCAATCATTTACGATTCCAGACAAAAAGACAAACATAAATTACTTTTTGAGAAATTATAAAAGTATTAAGATGGCAGAAAATTGTGGGTTTAGAAAATGGACGGGATGACGTTATCAGAATAGAGCATGCGTTTGTTGAAAGAGAAAATTAGAGAGGAGAGGGAAAAGTTTTGATTGGATCAAAGAGGATAAAAGAAAAAGAGAAAAAAAAGAGAAAGGTGGTTTTGTTTTGCAGAGTTTGTGTCTGATTACTGCAGGAAACGGAGGACTGTTCACTTTGTCCGTTTGTCGACAATTTTCATGGCACCATCTGACTTCTTCCATGGACTGAAAGAAAAACATGCTGATGGCTATCTCAGAAACTAAAAATATGCTTTCATGGCTTCAAAATATACTTTCAAAACTTTATGGTTTGTTCAAAAAAAAAAAAAATTTGTTTTCAAAACACACTTTGAATTTTGGTAAGGTTGTTTTGTCAGTGGAAATTCCGATGTAAAATTCAAGAGGGACTCATTGGTCGGTTGATCTAAGAACAAAGAAATGAACATTCTATCAAATTAATTAATTAATATCTTCCTTGACCAACAAAAATTCACTAATATAGACCGAATGGATGATCATGACATTTCCTCTCGCTACAAATTAATATGATATATGCAAATACTAGAGTTAAGTAATTGAGTGTTAGCTATATATATATATGTTACCAGAACTAATGCACGGGATCTTATTAGTGAGTATATGAAAATATGATCTTGTTAGTTTTAATACATATACAAAAATTAAGATAATGATATGTATATGGTTGAAGTTTTTACCCGTACAAGTGGGGGATATAAGCTTACCTGATACAGAGTCGGGAGTTTGATGAGACAGGAGGGAATGAAGAAGAGGAGGACAAGGGAGAGGGAGAAGAATCAATGAAGGTAGAGGAGAATTCCATTTAGAAAGAAAGAGAGAGGAAGGGAATATAAAAGGAGTGTTTGAGGGGAGGAGGACTGGACCGCTCAATTGCGCATGGCTTGATGGTTGTCCCCAGCTGCTTACGTCAATCCCAACCTACACCCAACTCTTCCTTCAAAAATTTTTAGATTAAATTAATTAATTACTACTAGTTTTTTTTAAAAAAAAATTAATTTATAAAATTCAAAACTCAAGATTTTGTGTCAATTATTTAAATAATTCAATAATAATATCCTTTCGTTGAAAGTAAGAGATACTGAATTTGAGTCGCATAGCATGCCGAGTTGCACGATATGCAGATGAGGTGGAATAAAGAATAAGAGAATGGATGGAAAAAAATTGTTTTTCGTTATGCAACCAATATAAAAAAAAAAAAACAAAAAACTTTAAATTTTATTTTAAAAAAATCGAATTCTTTTCGTACGAAATTAATAAGTCGTTGGTATTTATTATTTAATATATTAAAATTAACTTAAAGTGAATATTTTTTAATATCATAATTAACTATGTTAAAAAATTACAAATTAATAAAAATATTAGTAAAAATAGACAAAAATAATATATAATAGGTTAAAATCCCATTTTGGTCCCTCAACTATTGTACGGACCCCCGATTTGGTCCATAAACTGAAAAAATCCCTGATTTGATCTCTACCGTCTACCATTTTGACCTCAATTTGGTCATTCCATTAAAAACTGGCTTACGTGGACCATTACTTGATGGAAAAAAAGATGACAATTTAAATACCTTGCCACATAGGATTGATAATGAAATAAATTATAAAAATAAAATTATTAAATGTTAAATTATAAAGATAAAATTACAGTTTTACCCTTTCTTCAACCACACATCACTTTCTTTCCTTCCTCCTTTCGTTGCCCCTTCTTTCCCACTTACTTTTCACCTCCAACCTCTTTCGTTGTTCATCTTCTTCCCTTGGATCCTTGTTTGTCGGCTTGGGTTTTAATCTTCTCCTTTCCTCATCTCCTCATCATCTCTTTCCTTTCATCATTTATTATCTCATCTTCGAAACCCAGCAGATCTGTTAGGTTGTCGAGAACCCAGCGATATGCTGGGTTCTTCGATCTGCTGGGTTCTCGAGAACCCAACGATCTGCTAGGTTCGATTAAATCGAACCCAGTGATCTGCTAGGTTCGATTAATCGAACCCAGTGATCTATTGGGTTCTTCGATCTGTCGGGTTCGATTTCCAACGATCTGCTGGGTTCTCGAGGACCTAGCGATTTGCTAGGTTTGATTTTTTTTTTTTAAAAAAAATATTTATGTTTAGAAACTTGAATTTTAGGGATATTTTTGGGTTGCAGCTGACTGTTTTGCTAATGAATATTTTGTTTGTGTGGGTTGTTCTCATTGAGAATTTGGCAAAAATTTGCCCATATGGCTGCTTCTAATTATTGAACATCTGCTGGGTTCTTGAGAACCCAACAAATCACTGGGTTCGATCAAGAACCCAGCGATCTGTTGGGTTCTCAAGAACCTAGCGATCTTCTGGGTTCGATTTCTTTTTTTTTTTTTTATAAATATATATGTTTAGAAGCTTGAATTTTGGAAAAATATGCCTAGATATTTTTGAGTTTTTTTGGGGAGGTTGAAAGAAAGAATTTAGGGCAGTGATGGTCTAGGGAGATTCTGGATTTGTATTATTTTTTGGTTTAATGTTAGAAGCTGTTAGGGTTTGCAGAAGGCGAAAGGAAAGGAAGAAGACGAAAGGGAAAAAGGGAAATCAAAGGAAGAAAAAAAAAAAAAAGGGAAAAGGAAATATTTTAAGGCTTTTTTTGTGATGTCATTGTTTTTTTTTTTGCCATGTCATTGTTTTTTGTGCCATGCTGTCATCTTTTTCCGTCAGGTAATGGGACACATAAGTCAATTTTTAACAGAAGAACTAAATCGGGATCAAAATGGTAAATAGTAGGGACCAAATCAGGGACTTTTTTAGTTCAAAGACCAAATCAAGAGTTCATACAATAATTGAAGGACCAAAATGGGGTTTTAACCTATATAATATTAACATTATCGTGAGTGACTATATTTGCAACCATATATATCCCTTCTAAAGCACTTTTCACGGGGTTAGGTTGGGAGAATTTGGGTTGAAGGGGTGGACCCCATGATTTATTCATGTAAGCTTCAGTCAGATAGGATGGACTTAACTCTTCTTCTTCTTCCATTTTTTTTTTTAATAATTAAATTTGAAAATTTTAATTTTCTTTTAAATAATCTAATTTTATTTAATTATTTGGCTAAAAAAATTAAACTAGTAATTATTTTACAATTTTAATTTTATGGTTACTTAAAAATAAAAATTAAAAGCATATTTAATTCATATTTTAAATTTTAAAAATTAAATTAATTTTAGTTCAAAGTAATTGAGTTTAACCCTAACCTAACTCAATATTAATGCACAAGTCTATTAAATTGGGTTATTTTAAATTTGGATCAAGAGTATAAACTTAAAACTCGACTCGTAGTGAGTGAGTCTAATTAAATGCTTAAATTAGATCCAATTTTATCACGTTGGCACCTCTTTAATTTTCACTCTCAATTTTCCAGCTATTTAATATTTTCTGATGCTGCAGCAGCAGCCCTGTCGGCATAATATGATGACGAATGTGCTTAGTTACGTACGACGTCAAAGAAGAAAATGAGTTAGGAATAATTATTTTGTTTTTCTTTTTATATAATTTTATGTGTTTTTTAAATGATTTATTTTTTAATTTAAACTTAAAATATTAAATATATTTATCCATGTAATAATTTTTAAAAGTTATATAAAAAATTAATTAAAAAAATTGTTTCTATATTGTCGTCCTGTCAAAGAACCTTCCGTCCACGTTGGGTTGAGCTAGGCTCTTTCTTCTGGATGGCTCGCGGCCCTTCACTACAACTTTAATCGAAATTAATTACTTCTTGTGTTTCTTGAGAGATAATTTAGTGATTGAAAAATTAAAATTTTATGTTAAAAATTTCAAACTTAAATTTTAAAAATGAGTGGAAGAAGAGGTAAAAAAATCTACTTCCTGCGTGTCATAATAATATATTCGTTTGTAATTCATATATGCATAGGATATGGAATGCAGGCATAAATTATGGAAAGGTAAAACAATAATTGTCATTATTATATTTTTTTGTTGTTTTTATAAATTTTTATAACAGTTGCTGGAAAAAAAAATTTTAACAAATTATTGGAACACTTTTAGACAAGAGCCTTTGGGAACCAGAAGTCTTATAGGTCCTTGTTTTTTCTTTAACAAAACAAACCACTTAGGTGTACCATAGATCAATGATGTGATTTAATGATAGAGTTATTTATACTTTTAATTACATATTTATGATTCAATCTTTAATTTTTTTTTTTTTTTAAAAAACACTAGGGTGTTTGTTATGGCGGAAAGTGACCATGAAATTGTGAAACCTTTCTTGACATATGATTTTCATATTGATTTCTTATTGATGATATTAACATACATAGAATAGACAAAGTGAAAAAGATGATAAGACTAACGACTTATTGATTTAAGTAAAACGAATTCAGTTTTTTTAAATAAAATCTTGAAAATTAAAAGTTTGTGAATGGAGAAACATGTACTGCTGAAAGAGTTTTCTCTTTATAAAAAGTTCAATTCTAAATTAATTGAAATTTAATGTGATTTTTGGGTATTGAGAGATTAGTAATATATAAATATATATGGTGATGAGGCTTGAATTGCAACGTTTAAGAGAAACATTTAAACTTTAATACAAAATGATGGTAATTTGGAGGCAAGAATGTTCAGGTAATTGGTGCATGTGCCATGAGAATGCTAAATTGGGACAAGAATTATTATTTGTCTTTTCTTCTCCTTTTTTTTTTTTTTTGAAAATTATGGATCCAATTTTATATTTACAAAACTAAGGATTTAGGTAACTTTTTTTTTTTTTTTTGGGAATGTGTGTTCTTTCTTAACCATCATTTTTTCTATTGCAATTATTGGAAAATTTATTTCCTTTCTTTTGATGGCAAATAATCAAGTTTGGATTTTTATTTAGGGGGTGAGTGTTTCTCCCTAAAGTTTTTAAAAGTTTTTTTATGAAGTTATTTATATTTTTCACACATTAATATTACAAAAAAAGAAGAGTAAAAATGATATTTTGTCTTTTTTATTTTTTTATTTTTTTAAACATAATTCTTAACTTATAAAATTTTTTTTTACTTATTTTGAAAATAAAATTTTCTATAACTATTTTTATATTGGACACATTTAATAATTTTTTTATTAATTTTTTCTATATTAATTCTTTATCAAACACTAAAAAATTAATAATTTAACAAAATTCTAACTAAACTTTATTATAAATTGTATCAACTTTTTATATAATATTTGTTAAGTTTTCATACAATATTTTCTTAATTACTTTTTCAATAAAACCCTCTTTGATGCACTTGACTTTTCGAGTCAAGTGGTTTTTGACCACCTTGAGATACACCATTCTCTTCCTTAGGCGGTTCTAATCCACCCATGATAATATTGTTCAAAAAAATAAAAATAAAAATAAAAATAAAACCCTCTCTGATAAAACTCCCCTCTCATCAAATATGCCCTTCTAGTGAGCATCGGAATCAAGCTAGGGCTATACATGGAATCGCTAGAGATATGGACGCGTAGTCCACGTAGGACGGTGGTGGGCCGGCCGCGGTCGCCAATCATGCGGCGGACCGCATCATTAAACTCATAAGAGCCTCCTCCCGTTGGACCCCACCCACCACCAGAGCTGGGGCGGTGAACAAACAAGAACCACCAAGACCTAATAATAAAAATGCTGGCGTAACCGGAAAAAGAAGATCCTTAGGGGGTCCATATTAGGATATCTCAGCCCCTTTTTGACATCGACCACCCTCCAAACTTCACTCCGTTCTTTCTCTTTCCATTTTTCAATCAAAGATTAACACCTTAACCTTTAGGTAGTATTCTTTGTAGATTTTTTTTTTTTTTTTTTAAAGTATATCGAGTGTGAGTTACTCGATATTATAAAGATTTAAAGAATAATTTTTATTTTAAAATTAATAATATTAGTTTAGTGAAACTCTTACTTATATTTTTTTATAGATTTTAGGCAAGAAAACCTTTTTTTTTTTTTTTTTGGTTTATTGAAAAATTGATCATGTGCTCTGTTTTTGAGCCCAAAACCCTTCTTGAATTTCACTCCTTTACACCAAGATGTGAAACTCAAGCCTCTTTCTATAGGGAACATCAACTATCATTGCACCCCATTGAGGTACTAATTGTAACAAATTTCCATTGACAAAGAATTAAAAGAATTATTACTTTCTAGACCCCTAGCTTTACGGGACATTTTCTCACGGAGGAGAATATGATTGAAAATCACATTCTTTTAATTTTGTTGAATAGGTAAGGATGTCCAACCCACACAGTTGGGTATATGGGTATATGACTACTTATAATTTTTGTTTTTCATATATTTTTAAAAGATTTGTGTGGGATTTTAGAAGGGTTTTTCTATTTATCAGTTAATGTGTCCATTCTATAAGATGTTGATTGGCAATCATGTAAAGTTTAGGGGGGATATTTCCTGTGACTGATTTACATACGATGGTCCTTACTCCTTACAAAGCCAAAATTGATTGATTGGAAATTGCAACAACATATTTTGACCAGGGTTCCCTTCAAAATAGAAAATTTGTGAAAGAAATATATTCCAACAAGGAGAGTATTATATGGTTGTAGTTCTTTATCTTATATCTAAATTGTAAAATATAAACCTTTAGATGAAAATAGTTTATAATACTAGAAGCCTCGCTTGTTATCTAATTCAATGGTTTATATTTTACAATTTAGTGCATTTTAGATTACATGGTAGTTTTGTGATATGATTTTAAATACTTAAACTTCGAATCTTGAGGAGAAAAAAAAAAAGTAAAAAGGTAAAAAGATATAAAGCAATGACAGGTACAGATGTTTCAATGATGTCAATGGTTCCAAATTTCCAATTCAATTTCTATCAAACATCAGAACTTAGAGAAATGGAAGCAAACTTGGAAAAGCCAAGAACCCCCTTGAGCTTACTCATAGTGTATAAGAGTTCTGCCTAGCTACACAAGCACATGATCGATTACTACCTGAGATACTTCTATCATTAGATGTAGATCGAGCATCACAAAGGGTCCATGTTTTGATAGCTTTAATCTCCCTTTATTTGTCTCAAAATTTCAATGCAAAATATCTAATAAAAAGTTCTAAATTTTTACCAGCTAAATATATCATCCATTTAGGTCCATCGTACAAAATTAAAGGTGTCGTATGATTTAACACTTAACCCAACAGGGAAGTGGATCTCTCATCTGTAGCAAGTTTGGCAGGATTAATGGGCCATTGATGAGAAAGGAGTGGGGGAAAATACAGAGACAAGTGTAAAATGATGGTCACAGTGTCAACAGAGGTTGTGGTCTAGAATTGGAAGAATTTTGAGGGGTCCTATCCGAAATGGATTAAAACGCGTTTGAATTGACTAGTTCATCTTTGGGTTTCTAGATGGAAAGGTTTTAATTTGGACCTTTTGGTTAGACATACATACGTGTTTGTGCTGCTTTTTTCTTGCCAAAAAAAAAGTTGTGATCCTTCCTTGATGCCTTCTTTTTTGTCACTTTATGTAATTTTCATGTCATTATTGATCTGTTTTTGGACCTTGTCACCTTGCTAATCACTTTCTCTACTTAGATTCCCATGTACCTTTAGAAATTATAATCCCTCACATGGCTATTTGCAACTTGTAAAACTATGAAAATTCTTTTAACGATGAACTATGCTAAAGCTGATAATAACTTGCGACAGAAAACAATGAAAACTTTGACATTTTATGCTTGACAATTATATAAATTATTGGCAAAACTCACTATAGTTGAGATTGGAACTTTTCTCCTGTGTACCAAAAAGTCAATTGCTACCTAAGCCGATGATTATTCACACAATCTTCTTCCACATTTTGCAAATGTTATAAGAATAAAATGGGCGCCGGCTCATCATACCAAGGTTGTACTAGTGTAGCAAAAATAATGTGATTATATTCATCAACAACAACTTAAGTGATTTTGTAATAATCTTTTTTAAGTAGAGTTTAAAATTTTTAATTTGAATTGTATAAACATATAATTGAAGTAAAATAATAAGAGAAAACTTATTTTTTTTATGCAATTTAAAATTAAAAAATATAAATGCACTTCGATGGCTTGTCCACAAACTCCTTAATAATTTTTTCTTTATGCCTTTTCTTGGTTTCCTTGGCATGTATAGTTCTGGCCCCTAACCCTTTTTTTTTTTTTGGGTGATGAACAGGTCTGGCCCCTACTTGGACATGGGTGTTCTCATGATATTGGGGATGAACGTGTGACTCAATACTTCAACAACAATACTTCTACACATTTTCTCAAAGTAGCTAGAGATTAATCAGTATAATCATCCACCATAAGTACAATTGATGAAAAAGGATTAACTTGATCATGTTACCGTCTTTTTATCCAGAACTTAATCACAATGCATTATACACTAAGCATCCCCACCCATTATTTGAGGGGGAGAAAAGTTATTATAATCAATCAAATTATTTTGTTTTCCTAATTACTTAATTTAATTGGTTGAAATTACATCACCTTCTCTTCCTTCCCTCTCCCTCTGTCTCAAACCAAATAGGTTATGTAACTCATAAATTATTGATCAAACAAACATATGAGTTCATAACTTTTCAAAAGATAGGCAAATAATTTTTTTTAAATGGAGTTTGATCTAGTTATTAAAGCACAAGTTGAAATTTTGAAAATTTTGAAAATTTTGAAGTGAGAAAAAAAAAAAGAAAGGAGCAAAAATGCAAAAACCTTTGGGCCCAAAGATGAGCCTAGAAGGCTAGAAGAACTGGTGAAATAATGTTGGGCCGAGCATCCAGGTGAATTCATTATTCATGAAGTAGGCCTAGCTTTTCTCTTGTCCACCTTAAAAGCCCAACCCACTTATTTTTGGGCTAGAATTAATAGGATTAAATTAAAATTTTCTTCTTCTTTTTTCTTTTTTTTAATAAAATCTTTCAGTCCTTCGCTTTGGCTGCTCGTTTAGGCGGTGAAGAGATCGTGGATTGGCCGGAAATTGGTGTTTGCGGTGGACAGAGAGCATGGAGATACGGCTAGATTGGCTACTAAGGGCGGCGTGGGTCGCCGGAACTCTTCCTATACTTATCGCCTCTCTCCCCTTTTCCTTTGTTAATTCATTCCATGGCTTTTTGCTTGAATTTTCCAGCAGAGGCAAGACTCAGCAATCGTCTTCCCATGTAAGAATCTTCCTTAAATTTCCTCCCTTTTTTGTTAATAATTTATGCAATGGGACAATCATTTTCAAGCTTTTTCTGGGTTTGTCTTGATTTTTCATGATTTTGTGGTAGTATAGAAGTTCACTGTTCCTCAGCGTTTCTTCCTCCACTTTTACGTTGTGGGTGTGGTATGGACAACCTTCTTGATGCTGGCAACTTGGTGCTATGCGTACAAAATGGCGCCGCTGGGTGTGGCGGCGTTGAGTTTTTCTGTAGCTGCTAGTCACTTGACCGGCAGTTCACATGTCTTTTCCTTGCACAAGTCGCGTGTTGCCGATGCTCAGGACAGATTCGAAGTTTGGAAATCGGCATTCTTGCTTTTTTGTATGGAAATACATGTTCTTAGGCGCCTCTACGAGACCCTTTATGTTTTTAAATACAGCTCTTCCGCTCGAATGCACATTTTCGGATATTTGACTGGCCTTTAGTGAGTTTCTGAACTTATTTAGCATTGTAATTTGTTTGGTGTTCATGTTAAGGCAAGCTTACTACGCCTGGCGAACCAATTAAATACACAATGAAAGTTAGTGCTTTGCTTCTATTCATGTGTTTTTTGATTTTACCATGTTTAAGGTTTTCAAATGATAGATTCACCAGGTTAGCCTTAAAGGACTAAGCTTGTTGCTAAGTGGCGTTGAAGAATGGTTATTTAGTACTATTGGTGCCAGAATCGAGGACTGCCTGTTGTTTATAATCTTATGTTTTTTATTGAACTTGTATTGGTATACATTTTTTTGATTTTGAATGTGTGTTAATTGGCAGTTTCTATGTAGCAGCACCTCTGTCACTTTGCTCCTTTTGTGCATTTGAGGTTCTTAACTTTGCAGCGGATCAAGTGGCTGAGTTTAATGTTAAAGGTCCTGAGATGCTATCTGTTACAGAGGTTGATCTGTGGAGGTATGCTATGCCTGTGGCAAATCTTGGATGGTGGCAGTGGGTTGGGGCTGCTATTTTTGCTTGGGGGTGGATTCATCAATGCCGTTGTCATGCAATTCTTGTATGTGCGTTTACCCTTTCTTTACCATCTCTCACGCACAGAACATTGGTTCCTCTGAAACTTGTTTTATGTAGCAGAATTAGAATGTCAGAAATAATCATTTTGAGGATGCTTTTTCATTAAGGGTTGCTTCATAACAATGCATTGCAGTGGAGAAACTTCACACTTTGTCAATATGGCTGAGTCCTTGCATTGTTATTTTTTAAGAAGATTAAAAGAATCCAGCATGACAGAAAATGTCAGTTCAGGATGCCTAACGTACGAATGAGAGTCTAATTAACCCTTTAAACCAGGGTTGGATGTTTAGCTCTGATACTCACTTTTGGGGTTCATCCTTTTGCTTTAACTTGTTCTCCACATGATGAAGAGAATATAAGAAAATTCTGGAGGTCTGAGCAGCATAGGTTCATGATAATTTATTTTCTTTACTTTTGTTAGCACATTTATAAAGGAGCAGAATCAATCATGGTATCTACCACTTGCATTTTCATATTTTGCATTGCCAATTTTTTGTCTTGTTGTCAGGGATCAATACGAGAACACAGAGATCAGAGTGATAAGTATGTAATTCCTTCTGGTGATTGGTTTGACATGGTATCAAGTCCACACTACTTAGCTGAGATGGTGATTCTCTCCTGCTCTCTTTCTCTATCTCTCTCTCTCTCTCTCTCTCTCTCTCTCTCTCTCTCTCAAACACAAACACTTAGAATATGGTAAAATCATAGAGATAGCTTTCTTCTTATTAGTTACTTCTCCTGTGTAGGTAATATATGCAGGTCTATTGATTGCAAGTGAGGGCACTGACTTCACCATATGGCTACTTCTGGCATTCGTGGTAATGTTTCCTACACTGCTTTCTTGACCCTGAATGTACTTCACAACTTCATCCCTTTCAACCAATCTCTGTTTTAACCTCTGTGACCATCCATCATTGCAGGTGGCTAATCTTGCATTCGCGGCCGCAGAAACTCAGAGATGGTACCTCAAGAAATTTGAAGACTATCCACATAACCGGCGAATTCTTCTTCCTGTCCTTTATTAGTGACTGTATCTACATGCCCTTTTACCCATATAGTCCACAAAGACACAATTTTTTAATAGAGGCTGAAAATCAGTTAGAAAGCAAATGTTGTGTCACTGTGTGTAATGTCCTTCTGTTTGAGATATAGGTTGCTCAAAATGTACAAAATTGGGATATAAAAGTGTAGCCTGGGCCTTGGGGGTTTATGATGGCTATAGAGATTTTCTATTTAAGAGAGAACTGGGCCTGGG